TCTTTTTGTGTTCTCAGCCCCCTCTGCCATCCTCTCGCATATAGTATTTCTTAAACATTATTGACCCTCGGAGGGTTGGATACTGGATGGGGTGAATTAGTGTAGTAAATCCGTATCCTGACAAAGGTGCACAATTGACAGTGACAGTGTTCTCTGGGATGTCATGCATTTCTTGCAATCATGTAAATTGACAAATGCACTTGGAAAATGGTGTGCCCTTTTCCAGTTAAGTGGAAGATAGACATTCCCTTTTTATGAAACCCCGCCGCTAGAGGGGTATCTGCGAGAACATATGGTTTTGTTCGGTTTTTATTCCCACCCCCAGTTATTCTTCAGCAGTCCCGGATTGTGAGAGGGTGCTGACTGGGCTGAGGGAAACCCCTCCAGTGCACAAATTTCGTGCACCGGGCCTCTGGTTTTAAAATATATTTTTATTGATTTGAGAGAGGAAAAGAGAGGGAGATAGAAACATCAATGATGAGAGAGAATCATTGATCAGCTGCCTCCTGCACGCCCCCTACTGGGATCCAGCCTGAAACCTGGTTATGTGCCCTGACAGGGAATCAAACCCTGACCTCCTGGGTCATAGGTCGATGCTCAACTACTGAACCACACTGGCCAGGCATGGCAGCACTTTTACATAACAAAAAACTAAAGTAAAAAAGTATGAGTTGGAGTCTGGGGTTGGTTGTTATGGTGGTTATGTGTGGGTGGGAGAATATGGGAGAAATGGAGATTTTCTAAGATGTAATACTAAGAAACATAATATTTCCCTCTTTCTTTAAAAATATTAAAAATATAACACATGTATAATTTAATAATTTTAAAACTACATTTTCAAAAAAGCTTTTAAGACACACTTCCTTAGAAAATCTATGCTGTTTAACCAAATCATCACCTTGTATTACCTGTCTTACAATATTTCTTTAACCCATTCAAAATTTCTATGCCATCACACCAAATTGACAGTGGCAGATGTAGATATTAGAACCACTGGGTATATTAAAAGCAAATTGATTCCATCTTTTCATAAGAAGAAACTGAGGCAAAACTTTTAAATGAGTCTGGTTCTTGAAAAATTAAATTAGTGAAAATCGACGTGGCAACTACCCAGAAACTAAATGAGTAGTACACTGAAATACTAAGTAAAAATATATTACTTCAATACTGATGTATAGGCACAGGGCATGAAAAAGACCAAAGGCCAAACCAGAAGCAAAACTGTTAAATACACATGAAAACAAATAGTAGGGGGATAATAAAGAGCCACCTGTAATTTAAATCCTTCCCCCTATAATAAAGATTTTCATAGAACGAGAAAAGACTCTTTTGATACAGACACATCATGCAAATCAGAGGTTTATAAAGCCAACAGGTATTCACGGTCAGCCTGTCCTTCCTTCTTTTTTCATCTTTAATCTTTGTCAAGAGAAGAGTGTTTAAGTCAGGCTCAACTTCTCCTGGCCCCACTGTTCCCTACAAGAAAATGTACTTATGTATCCACCCGTGTACATGCAACCTTTTTTTTACTTGGGAGTTCCCTTCCCGACTTACCCCATTTGTTACTAAAATTTCTAGCACTGGCAAAGTCATAACCACACTACGTTTCTAGTCAGTGTCGTTTCCAGCATTCTCCCTCTGCTCGCTTCATTTGTCTTAAAATAGTCTAACCCCCTAAGCCAGTGGTTCTCAACCTTCCTAATGTTGTACAGTTCCTCATGTTGTGGTGACCCCCAACCATAAAATTATTTTCATTGCTACTTCATAACTGTAATTTTGCTATTGTTATGAATCGTAATGTAAATATCCGATATGCAGGATGTATTTTCATTGTTACAAATTTAACATAATGAAAGCATAGTGATTAACCACAAAAACAATATGTAGTTATGTGTTTTCCAATGGTCTTAGGTGACCCCTGTGAAAGGGTCGTTCGACCCCCAGAGGGGTCTCGACCCACAGGTTGAGAACCGCTGCCCTACGCAATGGTAATATTTCTGGCCTTTTCCAGATCTCCTCCATCTGGCTCCGAGTGCCCAAACTCTTCCTAAAATACCAAGCAGGCAGGAAATAGCAGCCTATTCTGCTTTCAAACTCGCGGAAAATGTTGGCACTTCTGTATAGCTCTGGATTTTCTCTTAGGGAACGAACGGCTACACCGTGTATTCGCCCTGGTCCTTGGGAGGGAAGCTTGGTTATTTCCCACACTCCTATCCTAGTCTCTCCGGCGGGTGGGCAGGAGGGAAAGAGAATGCCTGATGAACTGCTCAGGGTATCAAGAATTCCTGGGTCTGAAATGAAAGAGCAGTATTATCCTGAGATCCTCTTGTCCCCCAGGCTGAGCGACAGCGGAGGCAGAGCTGCAAACCGAGGCCACGGGCAGGGATGAGCGCGGCCAGCGAGCCAGGGTCCCAGCAGATGTTCTCGCCCAGCCCCGCTGCCAAATAAGGCTGCGCGCCGGCTGCTTCCGCGGCGGGCGCGTCCCGACGTCCCCGCGGTCGGGAGGGCGGACTCGGGAGAGGATCCGGCGCTCACACCCTGGACCGGCCCTGCCCAGCGCCACCACGAATTCTCTTTCCAAGCTCGGCCCCTCCTTTCCCCACTGATTGTCCAACGCCCCGAAGGCACCGTCTTAGAAAAGCCCCAACAAGCACACAAGTGTTCATAAATCTGGCGTTCGCGGCAGATCTGTTTTTTTAAACGAGCTTTATTTCGGGAAGTTTTCCCCCAACAGGTTACAAAATAGCCTACATATCTGCGGGGGAAATCAATGCTTCTCAGTAGCGTGAGAGGAAACAAAAAGTAACACGCCATTCCCAGGGAGTCCCGCTTCCTCCCCGCACCCCCGAGAGAGGTTCGCGCAGGACGCGGGGAGACGCGGACGCCCAGGCGGGTGCCTGGAAACGCCCGGAGCAGCCGGCGGGCCGGTGCGGGGCGCGCGGGGGCCTCTCCGCGCTCACCCTCGCCGTCCAGGGCGCTCCGCTCCCGCGTCCGCGCCTTTGCCGCGCTCGTCCCGGCCGGACTCCAGGGACTCCCCAGGCTCGTCCACTGGCCCCGCGCCCACCCCCGCGCCGCCCGTGCCCGGGCGCTCCTCTCCCCCCGGCGCTCTCCCACCTCCGCCGCTCCGCGTCCAGAAGCACCTGAGAAAGCGCCCCGCGCGAGATGCGCCCCCTCTGCCTTCCCAGCTGGGCTTCCCTCGCGCCCCGCGGCGACCGCCAGCCGCTAACTTCCCCTCCTCCCGACGGGGAATCACAGTCGCGCATCCCCTGCGGGTGGCCACTCACCTCGGGTCCCGCGCGGCGTTGCCTCCGCCTCAGACGAGCGCTGACAAATGATTCTGTGGTGCGTGCGCCGCCCTCACCAGCCGCGGGAACTTCCGCCTCCTCGCGCTGCAGGCCCCGCCCCCGCTCCTGGGCACGCCCCCTTCGCTTCAGGCCCCGCCCCCTTCGCCCCCGGCCTCGCCCTGGGGCTGGGCTGGGCCGCGCCGCGCCGCACGGGCGGGGAAGGACCCGCGGAGCCCAGCGCTCGGGCTTGCTGGGGCGAGCTGAAGCCTCCCCGCGGGAAAACAGTTGCGCTGCGAACCGAGTTTTGGTGAGAGTAGTCTTCGGGGTTTCGAGCAGTGCCTAGCAAAGGTCGGCTCAGCGAGTTTATTTTGCATTGGATGCATTTCTCTCCGCAGAAACTGAATTGGCAAGCAGTTGCTCTGGCTAAAAATAGAAGGGGACTTTGGATAAATCCCTATCTGTGCAAGTTCAGCGGCTACTGCCTGTTTGTTGTTGTTTTGAGAGAGAGCTTTATATGCCCTGAGAAACGCAAACCTACAAGTTTGCTTGACAGGAAAGTGAAAATCAGTCACTTTGATCTCTCGAAGTTTAACCCTGTGATCACACCAGAAGACAGTGATCAAAGTTCAATTACCATAGCCTTAACTTATTTTTCTAAATCCAAATCAATAATAGTCCACTTTCAATACAGTTTTAATAGTCCGGTTTCTATAAAGTTGCTTGAGTTAACATAAGGAAGTTATTCATAAATAAACTTGAATAATATTTCTTGAACATACTAGAGGCCTGGTGCACGAAATTTGTGCACAGGTAGGGTTCCTAGGCCTGCCCAGTGATCAGGGCCATCAGGTTCTCTGCCTCCCTGCCTCCCCACCTACTCCTTCCCTCCTCCCTCAGCACCTCCCACCGTTGGCCGCCCGCCATGTTCTGCGCTGCCCCCTGGTGGTCAGCACAGGTCATAGCGAGGGATTGAACTGCCCGTGGAACTCCCAAGGGGACAATTTGCATATTAGCCTTTAATTATATAGGATGGAAAGACACTTGACTTTTTTGAACTCTGAGTTAGCTTATAAAATGTGAAAAGGACAATTCCGAACCAAGGCACACATAAAGCAAGGGTCAACCTCAAGGGGTCCGTGTATTCCTTAGAAGTACAAATAAAATTCTAGAGAAGGTCCAAAACTGCTCTGTCCAAAATGGTAGCCCATGAGCCACATGTGGCTACTGAACATTTCAAATGTTGCTACTGCAACTGAGACACTGAATGTTTTGTTTTATATAACTTCCATTAATTTGAATTTAAAAACAGAAGCAGAGTAATCTATTTCCATTAAACACAACTTTATTGCCTGGGTAGGACTACATTTCACTTTACCATTGAAATTTATTGCCTAAACTGACATGTGATGGAAGTGTAAAAATGCACACTAGATTTTGAAGACTTGGTATGAAAAATATAATGTAAAATACTTCAATAATATTTTACATTAATTACATGTTAAAATTATAAGATTCATATACTTGGTTGAATGTATTATTAAGTTAATTTCACCTTTTTTAATGTGAATACTAAAAAATTTAAAATTACATATGTGACTAGCATTATATTTTCATTGGGCCGTGCTGGTCCATAGCTTTCATCACATTCTCCAAAAGATTATGTTGGAGGGAAGGATTTCCTAGTGTGAGAGTGGGGGGTTACATAGTGCTTTAATATATGTTATCATGTTTGACATCTCACCCAAATTAAATAAGTACTAACAGTAGCTGCCTTTTACAAATACCTACCATGTTTTCAGGACAATGGCCACAGTTACTTCTCTGCTCCTTCTCCTCTGTTCCCTGCTGATACAGTCAATTTGAGCCTGTATCAACAAAAGTTGACTAATTACATCAATAATCAGGTGGGCCCGACTAGTGTGGCTCAGTGGTTGAGCTTTGACCTATGAACCAGGAGGTCATGGTTCAATTCTCAGTCAGAGCACATGCCCAGGTTGTGGGCTCAAAGCCCAATGTGGGATGTGCAAGGAGGCAGCTGATCAATGATGCTCTCTCATCATTGATGTTTCTATCTCTCTCTCCCTCTTCCTTTCTCTCTGAAATCAATAAAAATATTTGTTAAAAAAATAATAATAATCGCAGGTGGTGTGTGAAGGTACTACCAGAGGGTAAGCATCTTGAGGTGATGAAGAAGAGTTAAGAGTGAGGGAAGTGTTGCTTACTTAGGCAAATTCAGTTTTAACCTACAGATGCTAGCCTGCCTCTGAATACTCCTCCTACTACTACAGTTTAAAGCTTGGGGTATAGAATAAATGAATCAAATTAAGGTGTGATGTATAGACCAATATTTACCCAAGTATTCTCCAAAGGACCAACTGCATTAAAAGGACATGGGCAGCTTGTTAAAATTGCATTTCCTGGCCCCAACCAGACCCAGGATCTTTGTAACAAACACTCCATCCCCCCCCCCCCAACTCCACCCCTAGGTAACTATTAAACTACAATATTTAAAAACCAGTTTCCTAGAAATATTTCTATGTCCCCAATTTACTGTGTATTGTGCTTAGGTGAGAACCATGCATCCCAGATAGCAGCAACTTATTTCAGTTTCTTCATCTTAAAAAAAAAAAGGATAATTATAAATAACCTTTTGAGGCTAAAATGAGGGGTAGAGATAATATATGTAAAGTACCACACAACATACTTGGCCCCAAGTAGATGTTAAATAAATGGTATCCAAATGAAACTTTACTAACCAATTGATTAGATTTATTCATGTATCACAAAAGACAAGTACACAACTTTAACATTCATTATGCATGCACTTTGTTCTTAGTGACTTAAGTACATTATCTTATTTAATGCTTACAACAATATAAAGTAGGTATTTTTTCAAAGGAAGAAGAGAGACTTGGAGATTAAAAAATTTAACCAAGGCCACACAACTGATTAGTGATAGAAGTAGACCTGAGGGTCTGACTCCAAAAACCATGTCCTTTTCATTTCAACACACTGCCTCTCAGTAAATTCAATAAGCCACCCAGCTTTAAAGACCAGAGGAAGCTATAGCAACACTGTTGAAGGCCAAAGAGGTAGACTCTATAGCAGACTATAGAAATTCAATAAATGCTGAGTTGTTTGTATAAGAGTGAGGATGAAACTGCTGAGCCACTTCTGGTAGGGGCATGTGCCTTAACTTGTTTAGAATGAATCTCCACTGAGCCATTCTGACTCCCCTTCTCTGTTTCACTCTTGACTCACATCTTTGAAATGGCTGTCCATATTTTGAAGGACAGTCTGTGAGTACAGACTAACAGGAAGATAACCCATCCATTGGGAAATCAGGTCAATGTCCTTAGCCTCGTTAACTCTGCCTGCTAGGCAAGAGGCCTTGCCATAAAGAGAATTATATTAAAGTCTTCACTTTATCATAACCAGAGCGCAAAAAGCTAAAATAGAAAAGAAAAAATATATATCTTAAATATAGCTAAAATAGAAAAGAAAAAAATTTATATTTATAAATATAAAATATTAACTGATTTAGCAGGAATATTTTAAAGAATAATCCATCTAAACAGTATTTACCTAAGTGTATAAATGTTTGCTCTAGCATTTTACTATCCAATGCATGACTCAGAATCCTCTTGCAGTACTTCAAAAATAACAGAAACTTTTAATTGCAAAATGGTATGCTGTGACAAGTTTTTACAGTTTCACTCAATAAACTATAAAGTACCAGTCTTTAAAAAGTCCCTACATTACTCTAAGTCAATTTATCTTTTAAGTCCTAATCCTGAAAAGTAAATAAACCACTCATAGGTATGATTATTTAATGTTTCAAATCTAGAATGGAGAGGAAGTATTAACTATGCTAGCACCTAAAGAAACATTTGGTAATCTAGGGAGAAAGAGACTGAAGGAATGGTGTCATTTTAAAGTTAGTACAGAATTCTGGGAGAAGGCCAGAACTAAAGCAGGCATAGACTACAAAGAAATAAATGGATGAGAAAGGCTCTAAGAACAGACCCTGAAGCCTAGCCAAATGTATGATTGAGGAAGAAGTTAAGAAGAAGTCTAAACTTTTTAAAATTAAATTCAAGCCCAGCCAGCATGGCTCAGTAGTTGAACGTTGACCTGTGGACCAGGAGGTCACGGTTCAATTCCCAGTCAGGGCATAGGCCCAGGTTGCGGGCTTGATCCCCAGACGGGGGCATGCAGGAGGCAGCCGATGAATCAATGATTCTCTGCCATCATTCATGTTTCTATCTGTCTCTCCCTCTCCCTTCCTCTCTGAAATCAATAAAAATATATTTTAAGAAAATAAAATTAGGTTCAAAGTTTCAACTTCAGTTTTTGTGGGTGCTATTAATGACTGGTACTGAAGGAAGAGGAACATGTTTGAAGGGGCTATGCATTTCACTGGCAGTTTCTAGTAAGAAAAAAAAAAGCTGATTGGTAAGTGAGGGGTAGGAATAGGAAGGGTAGATAGTAACTGAGAAGAGTACGGGGAAGCTTCAAGTTTGAGATTTCAGAAGGGAGGACTATTACCCATAATAAGATCCAGGTTTTGCCAGACTTATGTTTTACTTATATTGAATCATTGTGGGTAGTTATTAGGACAGAGACTGTGTGAATTTAGAGATGAGATAGAAACAAATATGTAGGTCAGCCATTGCAAAAGTTTAGTATATGAAGAAAGATGTTATTTGAAGAAAGTGAAGAAAGTAAGAAATAGGCCTGGGCACTGCTTCCCAATTACTTGGCCAAGAAATTAATCTCCTCAGCCTGGGATTCAGGACAGGCTGGAAAGAAGCTTTTTCCATTTTCTTCAGTTTCCAAGTTTGCCTTCATGTAAAAAGAGTTGAGGAGCACTGGGATAGGAAACCAAAAAGAGATAAAGTAAGAAAGTGTCAGCTTTTCATGTACTCATTATAATGTCATAAATGTTTTACAGTAAACTAGAGGCCCTCAGCCCAGCCTGCACCCTTTCTTTCTTTCTTTTTTTAATATATTTTTATTGATTTCAGAGAGGAAGGGAGAGGAAGAGAGAGATAGAAACATCAATGATGAGAGGGAATCATTGATTGGCTACCTCCTACACG